CTCAGGCAAGGATTGGGGTTTGCTGTTGAAAAAACAGGGTTACAAAACTGAAGGAGTCTGCACATCTGTCCCATTAAGCTTAAGTATCTTTAAATGCCAGTACATCTTGACTCCAGGCAAAAACCTCCTTTTGTAAAGGCCAGTTCTGCTGAAGTACTGGTGAAGGCTAATTTGAGAGCAAGTGTAAAAAGGACCTCTTTTCAAGGGTGAATTTGAACTTCAAATCATTTCAGGACCTGACTGGATAACCAAATGGCTACAGCTCTCAGCTGAAAAGACTGTGTGTTAAACCCTATTCTGACACACATTGCATGTGCCTCAGTTTCCTCTTCTATAAATGGGTTGTAAAAATACCACCATCCTTTTGGTTTTTGTATGTTAAAAATTCACAAATGAAAAGTGCCATAGTACAGTTTGGCAATGGACTTAGTACCACTCTTGAATCCACTTAGTCACTGTTGCATCATACCAAATTAAACAGAATTAATTCCTTTGGGTAGTAGTTCTTCCTTTAAAATTCATTATACATGTGCATACACAGCTGTGTGTGCACACACCATTCAGGTCGGTGTCAGTGAGAAGCATATGTCGGAAGGGGAAAAAAGATGAACTTGGAGATAAGGTATGGGCTGGGAAAGCCCTGAGGTGCTGCTGACTGGAGCTGCACGTGTGCTAGGGCTCACAAAGCCATCTTGTTCTCTCTTCCCACACAACAGAGTGCTGGGGAAAAAATGGCTGTGCCAAGCAGGCATTCAGCAGCAAAGTCTTGTTTAACAAAAAAACTCCTGAGTGGTTAACAGCCGCAAGGATTGTGACTGCTTTCTGTTACATCTATCTCATTCAGGCTCCTTACAAAATGACCTGCAAGCTGAGGGTAAGGTACGAGCTTTGGAATCAAATCTGCATGTAAAGATGAACCACACAGCAGGCATTATTTGTTTTCTTGTCAGTTCACATTCCCTCCGTTTTACCTGTTCACCCAAAGCGTGTATAAACCTCTGCTAACCTGAATATCAAATGGTTTCCCAATTACTCTTTTGGGCTGCTAGCTACTTTTGTACTGGATTAGTCTAAAACGAGGAGGCTGTGACAGACTGTACAGGACAAATTGTGCTTTTTACAATTACTTGTGGGGATTGGAGCCAACCACCTGCTTCCAAGCCCTGAGAGGTTAACTGCAGCTCTCTCTCTTTCTCTTGACCTGCATACCAGAGCACGTCGCCGGCCATCCTGCCCTTCTGGTTGCAAACTGTCTCAAATCACACTTTCTGATTTTGTCAGGCAGTTGACAATGGATGGTGACAGACTGTTTAAAAAACAGACTTGCTCTGTGCATTTTAGATGAGAGGGTGGCAATCTAAGTTTTTGCTGTGTTTTCTCACTGTGTAGTATTTGCAAGAGAGATTTAACAGCGTTTTTCCTCTTAGTTCCCTCAGAACCAGCAGCTCAGATGAAATCTGTGTTAAGTCTCCTGCTAAAGTAACTCTGCCTGTGTTGCCCTGATGCATCAGAGCCTGCCCCGTGGCGAATCGGAGTGCTTTCTGGTGTAAACAGGCACATACTCCCCAAACTCCAACAGCATCTTGAGCCACTTCTGGCAGTCAGAGTGTGACTAGAAAAGTATGGAGGAGACTTAAAAGGGGAGAAAGTGAAGGGGAACATTCACTGTAGGCCATTGGCCACAGAATACAGCTGGCACCAAGTCCCCAAACCTCATCATGTGTTTCTCACTCCCTCCTAACTTTGGAGGGGTGTCAGAGTGCTGTTAAAATGAAATCACAGCTCTAATCTGAGACCTGGATGAAACATTCTTTGTCCTGGGTCTGTAGTAGATCCCAAGTTGAACAGGAGTGCTGGGCGTTTTTATATATGCTCAAGGTTCTTGTTTCCTTTAGATGAACCAAATATACATTCAAGTAACAACTGCTGTAAGGTGCAGTGAATGAAACATGGAAGTAATTAAATGTATGTCAGTGTAACAGAGGCTTCTTCAGGTGAGCTTTAGTCTAGCCTCAGTGGTTAACACTGGTCATGATTTCACATACTTCATCACAGGATTTTGCTGGATTCCATTGACTCTGTGGTTTTCACCCTATTTGCAGAAACTTAATTTTCCTTTGGTTTGTTTGTACCTAATAGAATAAACCCAAATTCCAGATAGAGAACTGAAACAACAACAATACCTCTCCAAGTTTTCTTAACAAGGCTGGATTATTTTCTGGAAGATAGTTTTCAGTGAAATATGAGCTCTAAAATCTACACAAGGCCACTGGATGAACTTCTATAGCATAGGTATATATACTGATTTATACTTACCTCTTGGTCAGTATATAACTGACTGAATGACTCTGCCTAGACATATAATCTATGAAATTTGTAAACCTAGGCTGATAGTTTTACAGCTACAATTAAAGTCCATCTTTCAGTTCCCTAATTTAGCACCTTTCTTGCCTGCTGACAAGAAGACAAGAACATGTTAAGCAGCAAGAAGAGAATCTAAAATATTAGCTGCTGTCACATCAGATATTAGTTATTCTTCTGATGTGGTCTGGATATTTATCTGGATATATAAATCCAAAACACAGCACTCTACCAACTACTAGTAAGAAAATTAACTCTATCCCAGTCGAAACCAGGACACCTAATTATTTCTGTCTTGTATTAATTCTCACAAAACTCTACACGTGTAGGCTTTATGATTTAGAATCCCAACTGCTCTTTGAATTAATAGGCTTGCTTAACGTTATGCTTAAACTTTCCAGAGACACTTGTGACACATTATGATGGGGAAACCAAGATTCTGAGTATGCTCCATCTCATCTGTGATATTCCTGAGCCTGGAGTCCATTTTAAGCTCTTTATCAGATAGCTAGATTTATTTAGTTTTTAAAATTACTGTACTCCTTAAACATTTACGTGGCAGGAGTATTCTCTCCAGAAGAGTGACTTAGTTTCCTTTGCCCCATCCCTCATAACCTGACTTAGTCCCTTTGTAAAAAAGCAATTGATTGTAGTTTCAGTACTTTGATTAGGATCTCAGAAGCTGACTTGAAAATGGCAAATGTGGAAATGTAGCTCTTTTACTTTATATATGGGTATTGCATATGAAGTGAAAAAGATGAGAGAGTGAGCTTTTCTAAGAAGAATCCCAAGGCACTTGGCAGTATTTTTAGCAAAGCTGTTACCTAATAATAAGCAGTACAGGAGAATGACATTAGTTGTACAGTGATGTTGTAAGAGGGACAATCTAGAAAGTTTGGCTGCATGCTCTCACTAAGTGTGAAACGGTCGTTTGGTATGATCAGTGTTCAGTGGATATTTACCAACAGATCAACTGGCACAATGTTTCCCAATTGTTTCTCCTTCCATGCTTGGCTTGAGATTTGCCAGAATTTTCAATGTCTCAGGAGTCTGGAAATAGAACTTGTCACTGAATGACCTGCATAAAAGTTGCTCATATGCTTTTGCTTTTGCAGTAGCTGATTCCTAGACAAGTTACCTGTAAATCTTAAAAGTATTATGAGAACCATTTAGGCAAAATTTTGTTATTTAAATGTTCTCCGTATGATAGTAGAACTCAGGTATTGTTCATCTGACAGCAATATACCATGTTAGAGCTCAAGAGAAAAATGATGTTATTCCAAGATTTAAAGCAGCACAAACTTAATTTGAAGAAGTCATATGTGAGGACTGCTTTTGAGAGAAAAAATGGGCTGCTACATATTTTCTGTAATTTTTCTTGGCTCAGTAACCCCTAATTCCTGTTAATATCAGAAAAGATTTGAGCTACATTTGCAGAACAAACCCAGCCTGTGTTTCAGCATATTCCCCACTGAAGTCTACATGAGTTATCTCAGTAACTCCAGTAAACCAGAATTTAATCACTGGCTTAGCCAGACTCCCTTCAGATCTGAGTCCCAGTGCATTATACAACATGACAGAGAACAGTCCTGACAAGAGAACAAAGTCCATTTCAGTAACACAACTACATCTCATAAGCCATGGTTTTAAAAGATTAAAACCACAGTACATGGACTGTTGGAGACTATCACCTCTCTCTCGCTTCAAAGCAGAATGCTAACCTGTATATGGATACAAATACATGTATATATGCATGTACATATATACACATATACACCTATATGTTAAAATGTATGCATTAATCTAAATGTGTGTGTATACATAGGATCTAAAAGTACATACACACACGCACATTCATAAATATATTTTTAAAAGTACCTCACAAAGAGGGAGTTCTGTCTTTCCAGGGTGCAGGTCAAATGTGTCGCTATGTCACGTTCCTCCTGTAAATAGGATCTGTGCTCAGGACCCTGATTTTGTGCCAAAACATCCCTGAGACCAGGGGATTAGATGAGTTGTAGTATAGAGCCCACGCGCTAGTTTTGGCAGTAATTTCATATAATGACACAAAGCAACTATGAATACGTTTTTCTAAAACAATTACAGAGAAGTTCTAAAAATTAATGCTTCTGCTGCACTTCTGCTCATGAGCCATACGGGGTTCTTTGTCTTTCAGCATTACAGTGCTCAAAGAAAAAGGAAAGGATTCTGTTTTATGATTCTGAGTCAGTCTTTTTCTTACTAACATATGGCCCCATTTTTTCCAGGTTCTTTAAGCAAGTTGTAAACATAAACTTCGATGCACATGGAGTTTGATTCATGAAGAGTTTAATTTGCCTAGTATAAAAGATTCACATAGGTTATATAACATCATTAAATTATTTTTGCAGTTTGAGTAGCATCCACTGAGGAAAGCAGAACTGTTTCCCTTGGGTCCATTTATCACTGTTTGCTACTAATTAGAAAACTGGAAATGCAATATGCATGACTCACATTATCAGTGTTGTCTTTGAACTGATGTATCATGCCTTGTGCTTCCTCAGGAACTTTTATTCATTTCCTAATTAATCTTTCTTCTTTCCTTTTTTTTTTCTTTTCTTTTTTCTTTTTTTTTTTTTTTTTTTTTTTTTTTTTTTAAGGTTTCTGACAGATGTGACTCCATCTTCGTTAATGGCAAGGAAATGAAAAGCAAAGTGGATACTATTGTTAACTTCACTTATCAGCATTTTACCACCCAATTAGAAGTGACTGTCTGGGTTCCAAGGCTCCCACTGCAGATAGAGATCTCTGATACAGAGCTCAGCCAGATCAAAGGCTGGAGGATACCGGTCACCTCCAATAAAAGGTATGCTTACAGCATTGGCACAGCCCAGATATGTGCCCGGCACCTCTGATTTTAGAACACAACAAATTTTTAGAGTATTTCTCAGAATCTGAAGTCTCCTGTTTAAAATTAGCTTTACAGTCTGTCTTGGCCTTCATTAAAACATCCAACAATGGTATCAGTAGGCTACATTTTATCCTGATCTATACAGTTTAAAAATCAGTGGCTTTGCCTGGAGCATTAATCAATTCCACACAATCTCAGGAAATCATATCATACAGTTCAATGTGCCAATCTAAGGAAAAGGACGTGGACCTCCCCCATCCTGTCTGTAACATCATGTGTGTATGTGATATTCAGCATTGCCACTGCTTAAGTTTCTGTCTACAGTGCTAAATAAAATAGGGCCAAGGAGGGAGTGAGGGCACTGGCAGGGGGCTTGGACTAGATGATCTGTAAAGGTCCCTTCCAACCCAAAGCATCCTACAGCAGATCTGGCTGAAGCATTACTTAGCAGATCTGAATTAGACAAAAAAACCATGCTCCTATCGAAGTCTATATTCTGATGAATGGATTCTACCAGGAAAAGTGTGGATGGGGGAAAAAGAAGGGGAAGAGGGAGGGGGATTTTGAATTCTGTTCCCATTGTTCTCTACTGAAAACACTCATTCTAGAATAACCATCATTTGGACAATTTGCAAGATTAAGAACTTCCAGGAACACTGCTATATTGGTGGATTTCAGGCTAAGTTGAAAAATACTACTGGAGAACAAGGCATGACACCAGCTCAGATTTATAATACAGTGAAAAAGCATTTCTGGCAGCAGTAACTGCAGTGCTAAACACTGTGGCAGTTCTAGCTAAAGCACTCGATTTGCCCAGAACATCATCTCAGCTATTGAAGAGCCTTAAAGAGCCCAAACAGTCAGCAGTGGAGTAGAATTATCTCATACTTCATGAGGGCATAAAACTAAGGGTAATAGGACACAGTTTACAGGATACTCGGATAATGAGCTCCAGAGCAGGGGACTGACTGACCTCTTGGCTATGTGGACATTTTTTCTGGCTATGGCAGAAGAGGTGGTAAGGATCTGGCACAAGAGTAATGTGTGTGTTTGCTTCAGTGATAATGGCAAAGTTGCCATTTGTGGCAGGAAGAGATGTGTTACGTGAGGAATGAACATATGCCAGCTGCTTAAAGTTTCACTTAACTTACCTTCTTCTGCCTGTAACACGCCTAGTGCTGTAACACTCCTGTAGGCACAGCTCCTACTAAAAGCAGTGGGGATTTTGCTGAGTAAATGGCTGCAGGATTAGGCTACTAATGTTTATTATAGAAGTAAACTTGCAGGAGCAAGCTCAGTGAGTTAGACATTCAACTGTGGTTAATGGTTGTGGACATTCTGACTTTAAACCCATTACACACAGTGCTGAAAATTTACCCCCTGGTGTCTAGTTCTGATTTATTTGTCCAGCTGAAATAAAGATAATGGTCTGAGAGTCTGCTCTGTTTGCACGTTGGCAAGCAGTGCGAGTTTGCTGCTGCTCAGATTGCATCTGAACTGCTGGCACATCTTCAGCAAGCATTTTCCGTGAGAGGTAGAAGAGAAAGTATGGACACTGTATCATTCCCCAGAATTGCAGCTGGTATTTTATGACATTGTGTGTCATCAGTCCATACCCGTGTGAATGGGAAAGGTTTCAACTAGAAATAAATTATCTCTTGTTTTATGGAACATTCATGTCGATTTTTTTTTTAACTTTGGGGGCTATTCTAAATCAATAGGCAATCTAGGACTAGCATTGGTTGTGCTCACGCTGACATTTACTTTGTACATAAGGTTTTAACATTTCCTTTATTTTTAGATTTGGATGGGTTGTACCTGAGATTTAGTGGTTTTTCCTATTGTTTTATTTTGGTTTTTCCTCCTTCATTTTTAATCTGCTTATACCTCCATCTTCTGCATAGCTACCAGTTTCCCAATATCCTAAACATGGGGGAGTTTTTATGATGGGTTTTTAAATGGTGACCTGAAGTACAAAAGACATTTGGACTACAGTCAGGAGCTGCAGGTTGGTTTCTTGAATCCTTATTCAGTGATACAGCCAGAAGGCCACATTCGCTTATTCTGAACAACAGTTCAGCCTGTAATTCTTCACAGGTATACCCACCCGGTATGTACAATGCAGTGTTAGTGCTGTACAGTGAGAAGGTTGTCTTGTGCGATAAACCTGAGAATAGGTTTGAAAGAGAGAGAGTGGTTTAATCTTTAAAAAGAAACCAAATCCAAGCATTTCCCAGCAGGTGTGGTCGCCATAGCATTATATTGCTTCAATTTAATTTTCATGTGAGAGTCAGGATTTGCAGTTTGCATAAAGATTTTGATATCTATCCTTAAAGGAAACTAATTTGAAAAGAAGAAGGCATCTAACTTGTGGATTCTTTTGAAAGGCCCTGATAACAGGCTTAAGCTGTTTTAAATTTAGGTTCAGTCACAGATGGCCCACAGGTCAGCTGAAACTATATCACTGTCCTCACGTTTAGTCACGGAAGGATTTGTAATGTGTTTTCTTCATTCCTCACCACAGAGAAAACAATTTTCTCAGCAAACTCCAAACATTCCTTCATCTCCTCTGGCTCCCCCCCGGCCTCATTCCCACATGCTCAGTGTGGCTGTGCTAGTTCAGTTGTCTGAGGAGGGGCTGAGCCAGATGGCAAAATATAACTGGGTTTACTTTTAAATGTTTTTATTGGTGCTGTTGACAAAAGAAATGCTCGTGAAACTACTGCCTCAGCATGGCTGTTCTTTATCTGAATATAGCTGCTTCTATTTCAGATGTGAAAAAGTGTTTATATGCCCTAAATCACATCTGTTCTTTCCAATGATGTTTGTTATCTAATAAAATGTACTGCTTCTCCCTATAAACCCTGTCATGTTTGTAACTGTAAAATACATGAGATTACAGACATGTTTGCTTATCTAACTTCATGAATCATTTCCACAAAGTAACGAAAAGTTCTTTACAAAAATTCTGCAAATGCCACATGCCTAGCTCTGTTTGAACTGTGTCAGTTTTCACCTGGTCTGAACTGCCGTAAGAGCAGGAACTTTCTAGAGAAACAGAAAGAGGAAACAGGTTGCTTTTATGCCAGAAACTGGAAAAAAAAACCACTCTCCCCTATGTAAGAACAATAATACAATTTACCAGATCGGTCTGTAAATATATGGCAAACCTCTATTATTATCCAGAGGACAACTTGATCTATGCTGTGCGCTGCTGCAGATAGGAAGAGCCTCCCTTTCCCGATGACAGTCAGCTCCATGGATCAGCTCCTGACTGCTGCATGGTACATGGTCCTCGAATGAGCATGGACTGACAGAAACTCTACTCCTGCAATGGGCTGCAAAAAAGCCCACAATCTCAGCAAGTGAAAGATGCATATTTAAATTAAAGTCAAATATTAGAGTATAGAAGAGGTCCAGGCAGACTCTGCTAATCTAACAAGAACATTTTGATTCCTCATGCATCTGCAAAATAATTACCTTCTGGAAGTTCCTGCACTAGCTCTATGCACATACATATTTACAAGGGATGACTTGCTTCAAGTTGCATTAATAGGAATTGCATGGCTAAATTCTCACAGAACAACATAGAAATTTAATTTCAGTAAATATTTGCAACTGGGCTAGCACATTGTTTTCATGAGGCTCCTAAGGTAGATCCTAAGGTACATCACACAGCGACCCTGGTGTATGTTTCAGGATCAGGCACATAATTTACTGGACTTTTACCAGCATCTGGCTGTACTGAACAACAGCTGATAAAGCCATTACTAAGCTGTGGTGATGGCAAACCTCTGAGCAGCATTGAGCTTTGAAACCTATGAAACAGAGTTAAGCCAGACATGGCACTGCTTATGACTGGCAGTCAGTTGAACTAATGGTTAATGAGGTGCTAGCTCTGCTTTGATCCTGTCAATTACTAGAGACAAAATCAGGAAAGTTAGCCTAAGTTAAATGCAGGCAAAAATAAACTGCTTTAGTTAAACCTCTGCGTGAGTGCTACCACTCAGAAATAAAGCCATACTTCAAGGTGAATTAAGTGAAATTGGATTCAAACCATTCTGTTTGTGAATAACAACATCCACACAAAACTTGAACATGCTGTAATTTCACTCCTTTAGTTAATTGACTTTAATGTTCTATGGAGATAAGGCCATAGAGATTTTTGTTACTAGGTACACTGTATTTTCAAGATCTGTAAAGGTACCAAATTGCATTTCTTCTTTAATTGTGAGTAGAGCTATGCGCGACTCATTTCTGTAGCTTCTACTAAATCAACTTCTAGTGGCTTGTATTTTGTATCCGAAATAGATCTTTTTTTTTTCAATTAGGGGTGTTGCAAATGTTTTTTAAATACATGACTCTTTTTAATGAGCATTTCAGATTCAAAACCAGGAAAACTGATTTCTTTAGGGGTTTTTCAACAGAAAATTAGCATCTGGCCCAAGAACGGGATGCCTGGTTTGAGAGTGGGGCAAATTAAGAGACATACTTACAACTGCTCACAGACAGTGTCTGTAATATAAAGTTGACAGATCACTGATTAGATCAGTGCTAGCAGGCACCCTTGTAACAGGGCTGATGTTTTAACTTAGCTGGTAAAGGTTTTCTCTGTGTGAAATGTAAATTAAATGTAATTCTGGCAACCTTGGTTCACTCCAGAAAAGCAAAAAATCTTCCAAGCAAGTTTGCCAAGCAGCAAGAAATAGGATAAGAAGGATTTTGAGAGATATTCAGAGCTAACCTTGAAGATGACCAAGAGGACAAAAAGTACAATATGCAGCAATAGCTTGTATTCATGAGGACAGTCTTAAAAAGAAAATGAGCTCACTCCTTAATGAAGGATTTTAAGCCTACTGAAAACACTGAAGTTTAAGACTCTAAAGGGAGCTATTGCAATTCAGTGGATCTCAAACATTTTGTTGTGCCCATGGAGACAAAACACTGAAATGCTCTTACTAACTGAATCATGGATTTGTGGCTTTGAAGTGGAAATGGATATCATTTGTTTAAAAAAAGAAAGAACTTGAGTTGGTACCTGGTAAAGCAGATGTGCAAAGCTTCTACTGAAAATTCAAACACCTCTCTTTTTACTTTGCACTGACATAAGAAACTGCCTTGCCCATTCCATGGTTTAGGGATGCTTTTCTGATGATGCACATTTGCATGCAATAGAAACTAGGTATTTCTAAGGAGAAGTATACAGATACAAACACCTATAGATGTTTTTGTAAGGAGATGGAGACTAACCTTTGTTTTTTAGAGATACCACAAGCTGGACTTGAATCATCTTTTTGTGGTTGGTAGTACTGGCTGACCACACAGTCTTCAGCCTGACAATAAGGGCAGGAGTGCTCCATCTGCGGCCTTGTGCAACACTCCTTATGTCTGGTCATTCTTCCCACAACTCACATTGATGAGCTGTATGGGACTGGGGCTGAAAAATTCTTTCCCTCGAAGTTGTTTTGAATGTATTTCCTTTTGAACAGTTCAGTAGTCTAAAGTTTTAAACAGTGAAAGTAGAAATAAATAAGCACAGAAATAAATACGAGTAATAGTAACACATTGGATGAGTAAAACATCTGGTTATGTAACAGAAACAGAAAACACAGTTGTGTAAAAAAAATTAAGTCCGCATGAATGTTGAACATGTGAACATTTTTCTTCAAGCCACAGAACACTGGTTCTGTGTCTCTTTCCCCATGAGAAAACTGGTTCCCATTGGTTCTGTGGCTCTTTTCACCAAAATCCCATAGGTCAGATTTCTTACATGAATAGCTTCTGCACATTCTTCTCCAATTCTGCACAGGTACTAACGTTACTGTCTGTATTACTAAAAGAGGGTCAAATCCCAAAATCTCAGCGCTAAATCTGGTTTTCCCAAAGTCGGAGATTATTCAGAGCTGGGTTGTGGTTGAGATAAGCTGAAGAGGGTCAGAAGTGGGAATGTTAAGGAGTTCATAAATTCTTTTATAGCATTCTAAAGCCAAAAACAATCTAAATAGGCATGGGCCATGTAAGCTCTATGAATACCCCCCTTCTAGTTCTTTCCTTGCGGCTGTTTTGCTGACAGTCTGCCTTCAGCTCGTAGTCCAGATTGACACTTGTGTTGGGAAGGAAAGCACAATTGAAAGTTTCCTTGAAATACACAGCTAGTCTAATTCTTTGTGTAATGTAAACCCTAATTTAGGATCCTGTTTTTTTCTTAACAATTCAGTGGTTATTCAACATTGTTTCATTCAGTAACTAATAATGGACACTGTTGTTTTATACACACAAAACCAAAAAGGCTGCACCAAATACCATTTACTTGAGGCCAAATATATATATATTCGGCTAACAAGTGATGCATTGAAAAGGTATTTCCAGTGTATTAGGTTCTGTAACACCAGGACTTTCTATCATTTTGAAAAGCACAAGGGCTTTTCTTAGATATGTTTTCAGCTTACTGTTTGCCAACTTTGTCATAAAACAATTTATAACAAAAGCAATTCTGTTTTGTAATAGTTTTTCATAGCCAGCATTTCAAATGAGAAGATAAAGGAACACAGTAAACAGAAAACTACTTCCCAAAATACTGTGAAAAATAAGAGGCTTACCCTGTATTTCTCACCCTTGCTATAGAGGTAGCTTCAGGCTCAATAAATAAGTAAATGAGGAAGGCAAATTATTTCTGAGCAATGAATTCCACAGCACAGGAGCATAATGAGCAAAACTGTGACCACCTAGTGCTTAATACCTGACTTGAAAATGATAAGAGAATCCATGTGTTTGTCTCAAGTAATAAACAATAGCAGGGAAAAAAAAAAAAAAACACCAAAAAACAAACAACCACCAAAAAACAACAACAACAACAAAACAAAACAAAAAAAGCCAAACAAACCCCCCAAAAAACCACAAAAAAAAAAGGAATTGATGGGAAACTGGTTTTTAAACCAGACAAAATTCTGTGAGGTGTGACAGCACTGCTATCATATACAAATCACTGTGATACCTTATATAAGGTATCCATAAGGAAAGCTGTTAGATTGTCACAGGTTTTATTTTGCAAAGGGGACAGATGGTTAGAAAATGTTAAAGAAAGTGTGTCTAAGGCTGCAGTTGTTTCTGTGAGGTGAGTGGTAGTCTCACCAGTCTGGTGTGGTGTACTTGGAGTAATTCATGTCCTGAGTGGTAATTTAAGTGCCTAATTTGGATTTTTGGAAGCCCCATGTGGTGATTACATAACTAAAAATACCAGACACTCGCATGAACTGTATGAGATTTAAGGTGAAATCATGGTATATTTCTGAAATGCAGAGGGCTTAAGGAACCTATGAGCTAGGGATATGAGATAAGGTGGGGTGGTGTTACCTAAGCAGGGAAACCAGAGTGTGTTGGAGTAGTTTTGAAGAGATGAGCAAAGTGACACAAATGTTATAGGCAAAGGCGAAAAAAAGGATGTTAAAACATTTTCTCCCATCCCTCCTGAGCTGCTACAGGGGTTTGTTCTAGAATTGCCCTCTCATAAACATTTCACGCTACTTTCCTTAGCCCTCTACAAGATTTGAGTGCTGCTTGGAGACACAGCAAACAAGTGGTGGCTCCACTGAAATCTCAGTGATGGCAGACATATTTTTAAGTTGCTGGGAGGTCCCACTCAAACAAAGAATTCATTAACATAAGTGACAGTAGCTTTTAAATTGTACAGCTCAAAAAAGCTGTACAAGCATCTCACCAGATTTAGTAACCTACACATCCCAGATCTGGTTTCCTATTTCTCACACAGCAGCAGATGATGATAACATTAATCTAATTGAAAATACCATGCAACTGAGACTCCGCAGTGTTGTGGGGAGACTGTGGCAATGCAGATAACAAACTTGGATCTATTTACAGGCCTACCCGTGACAGTGAAGATGAAGAGGATGATGAGAAAAAAGGAAGGGGTTGTACCCTGCAGTATCAGCATGCCATGGTGCGAGTCCTCACACAGTTTGTAGCTGAATCCTCTGAGTTTGGAGGCCACTTGACCTATATGCTAGGCTCCGAGTGGCAGTTTGACATCACTGACCTTGTGACTGATTTCATGAAGGTAGAAGAACCCAAGATTGCTAAGCTTCAAGATGGCCGAGTTCTGATCGGTCGTGAGCACGGCATCACCACGGTCCAGGTACAGCCTAAAATGTATCTGCAGCTTCTGTACAGAGAGTTCTGGATGCACCCATACAATAGCTAGTTAGCTTATAAAATTAATTGCTCTCAGAAAAAAAAAAAAACAAGCTGAAAAAAATTTACATGCTAAACATAAAAGGAAGTTTGAATGGGTTTTCATTTTTGCTATTTGGCACTTCCATAAAATACCTTTAGGTGAAGCTTCTGAAGCGATTTATCCATGTTAATGTGACTAGCAACACAGTGAGATTTTTCTGAACAGTGAAACAGGTTATATGATGAAAATACCTAGTTTCTTTTAAGTGGGACCTTATGAATTTAACTGTTAGGAAATTTGTCCAAAGATCTACATGCATCTTTATGTGCTTAAATGTCCTTGGAAAATTAGTCCCTTTATGTTCACAAAATGAAACACAAAAAATGGACACAAAAATAATTTTCAGAAATCTTTCAGAGTGTTCATGTTCACCACCTGTGTCTCTGTCTAACTTTATGCATACTTCTTAATCAAAATAAAGGAATACAAAAGCATTGGGGCTCTTCATATTAACCGGAAACATCTGTAATGGTCCAGTCACACTAAGTTTCCTTTGTAGGCAACACAAAGAAACAGGTATTTTCAGGGCTCAGTGCCTTTCAGCCTACAACAAAATATTACAAGGAGGTCAACGGGATTTCTGCCCTTAAATATGTCTCTTTCACCCCAGTGACTATAAAAGAGCAGAAGGCAGTGAGCTCTGATGCAGGTAGCTACGCTGTAGATTTCTCATGTTAGTTTGGACAAATCACACCTCAAATATTTTGGGCGTGAACCAGCTGTTTCTGGCATCAGTAGAAAGATGACTGTCTCCTCCTAAGCATGTCAAAAACGAGGTCTTAGAGCAAACTGACAGAACTATTTTGGCATTGAAAAATTCAGACAGGCACCCAATGGGATCTTCAACGTTCTTCTGAAAATCTCACTTTCATTTCATTCAGGTCCTCTGTCCCTATAAAGGCATCAGGCCAAGCTCCTATCAGCCAGGCTTTGTACACTTATTTATTCCCTTACTGAGTTTCAGCGTTAATCAATGTCTTACACTATGTCTTGTGCTACACTGCATTCATAGGAGGTTTTCTAGAGCACACAAAAATTACTTTTTTTTTTTTTAAAAAACTAATCCATTTAATTTAATTTATAACCCATTGTTGAGATGAAGCTGCAATTTTGAAGTGACTGGTTATTTTATTAAATTATTTTTGTAAATAAAGTAATTTAGCAGGAAATGAGTGTAATGTCTTGGGGGAAACATCAATTATAGTTTATACATGGATGTGACAAACCCAAGATTAATCCAAAGTCTTATGCTGATTAGAGGCTAACCTTGCTTTATAACACAGTTAGTTGCTGTTTCATGCAAGGCGTTTGCTTTCTTTTTCAAGGTTCTGTCACCTCTTTCTGATTCCATCTTGGCAGAGAAGACAGTGATAGTTCTAGATGACCGTGTAACCATTACAGATCTAGGAGTACAACTAGTTTCAGGATTGTCCCTCTCCTTACAAATCAGCAAAGGAAATAAGAGAGCTATCATTTCTACCACCACTGCATATGATATCCTTCATACTCCAAAACAGGTACGATTCACAATAGTATACAGAATTAATTTATTTGTTTGTTGTGCTTTGTCAGAAGCTAGGGAAAAGTTACTTGCTATAAATTTCAGACAGCACATAAAACGTGTGACTTTGTGAAAAGCAGTAACTTCACATAGTAAAGGCTTACTGACCAACTCCTACAGGTGCAAACATCCATACAGAATGCACACTAAACTCTTCAGAACTAGTTTGCAGACCTGTACAGCACAGGGAATGTGATGGACATGTCTGTGCATGCATAATGCTGTAGAAAGCATGTATGTGCCACTCGATATTTTTTTCTATGGGAAAATATAGCTTAGCTATGTAAGCAGAGGTAGAAACCCCATGCCTTAGTCTTGCAAAGTCAGTTCAGCCAAAAGGACTTTTGGCTGCATGTTGAGAAGTTTTCACAATCGGCACTGTTAAAATCTGATGAGTTTGTACTTACTTTGAACCATATAATCTGAGGAATTAAATAGCTTTCAATGAGATACCAGAATAAATTACATACATCTTTTTTATTGTATCTATTATAGAATTGAGACTCTCTCACTAGAGAAGGTGTAACTATCTTTCTAGTACTAGTAATTAGCAGTAAGAAGACAAATTGTTTTGGTCAAAACTTCCTTAAAAATGTTCTTTTGTGGGTGTTTCTGTAGTTCCCAGAAAAGACTTACAATCACTTTTGTATATTTCACATAATCTTGTATATTTGAAAGCATGACAATAAATTTAAAATATTGCATTGTGTTCTTAACATAGTTAGTTTCAATGGGCTGAATGGGATCACCATTCCAACACATAACAGCTCTGCATGTTGTATTAAATATGGCATTAGAACTGCAGTATTACAGAAATTCCCCATTATAGGTCCTTTATAAAATTAATTAACTGGGACTTTGGAAATATGATTATTTTTGTCATGAGGCCCTGGCACTCAAAAGAGGCTTCTCACTTCAGACTGAAAAAAAGACTTGTAGAATTTTTTTTGTCAGCATTTTTTATTAAATTTAGATGATCATGTTTTTCATAGATACTGAAGATGAGATAAATGCCTAAGTGGTCTAGAGAACACAAATCTGCAAGAAGAAAATGAGAAGCAGAGTAGACATTTTGTTTTTCTTTTTTTTAAAAAGCAAAATGTACCAAAGTTAAACTATGTATGTATTTTGCCAATGTCAAACAGACTTAAAACAACTGAGTGTCTGATATGTGCTCTCTTACCTTTCATACCTTCTTTTTTTCCCCTCATTCTCTCTCCCCCCAGGAAGCCATAGTCAGTGCTTGGATTTTGTTCAGTGATGGGTCAGTGACACCATTAGATATCTATGACTCCAAGGACTTCTCGATCACCATCACTTCGCTGGATGAGATGGTAGTGTCTGCACACCAAAACCTTCAGTCCAAATGGCCTGGGGTAGTGGCAGAAGGGGATGGGCAGGGACCTCTGATTAAAATTGAAATGGTCATCAGTGAGCCATGTCAGAAGACTAAGCGGAAGAGCATTCTGGCTGTTGGGAAAGGAAATGTCAAAGTGAAGTTTGGTCAAAAAGATTCTGACCAAAAAGGAAGCACTAATGACATTGATGACACGGACAGAGATTTTAAAAGCCATGGAAGCAATTCTATAGAGAAACCTGCAGAACAAGAGAGGACAGCACAAGAATGGTCCAAAAACCATGAGGACATGTTCAGTCATGAAGACAATGCAAACAAAAGCACAACTTTCATATCTCCCATTGATCAGGAGTCCCTGGAGGATGGCCAGCTCCAAAATAACCCAACTGCCTTCACAGGTTTCCCTACACAAGTAGAAATACCAGGAGAAAACAATCCCAGTGATCTCACATTGACTTCAAGAGGATTAACAGATTTGGAGATTGGCATGTATGCCCTGCTGTGTGTTTTCTGCTTAGCAATCTTGGTCTTTTTGATTAACTGTGTGGCATTTGCTTGGAAGTACAGGCATAAAAGGTTTGCTGTGAGTGAGCAAGGCAACATCCCCCATTCCCATGATTGGGTCTGGCTTGGAAATGAGGTTGAACTGCTGGAGAACCCAGTTGACATTTCGCTCCCATCAGAGGAGTGCACTACCATGATTGACAGAGGAATGCAGTTTGAAGAAAGCAACTTTCTCCTTAATGGGAGTTCTCAGAAGACTCTTCATAATCATATCCTCAGATCTTCTGAGTACCTTTGTGAAAAAGAAGTTAAAAGTGAACCTATAAATCCTTCTGGGCCAAAGCAGAAGCGAGTAAAGTTCACTTCCTATACAACAATACTGCCAGAGGATGGAGGCCCCTACACCAACTCAATTCTATTTGACAGTGATGATAATATTAAATGGGTATGCCAAGATATGAATCTTGGTGATTCCAAGGAACTTAGGGACTACATGGAAAGACTGCAAGACAATATGTAAAACTTCTTTCTTATGTTTGTAATCACCTTTATGCCTTCTGTTTATGGATGGTGGAGCAGTCAGTCCAGTCAGCAATAGGAACAAGACAGTCCAACCTTGGAGTTACCGGGATGATAACCTGATATCACTGAGCAGGTACAAGAGGCTGGCTGAGTTAAACCTGTTTCACCACAAACCAGGATGTGCCCCTAAAACAGCTACCTGTAGGTGTTGGAGGTGTCACACGCGATGGCTGTTTTTGTATACTGCCTGGTACTAGCAAAATGCTAATACAACTACGCTCAGACTCAGAGGAGACTTCATTTGTTTGTCATCTCTCATGATAAATGGCAAATCAGAAAAGAAAAGGATATTTGTTTGCATTGATTTTTCTAGTTGTTGTCCTTTGTAAAGCACAGTGGACATTTCTTGCTTACAGCCTGAAACAAGGCTTACATTAAAAGGGATCTGAATGAATCTAATTTTATTGCCTATGTGCAATGCAGCCGAGTATTCTTCTTATTTTTTACAGATATAAAAACCCCCATGTGGTTAATTTCTTTTCCTATTGTTTATGAATTTTATTTGACTGACTGAGGGAACATTAACTATTTTCTTTGAAGGGGCTTATTTTCGGTTGTACCAAAGTGTAGTACAGTAATATTTGTAATGATTTAAGTTTTCTATTCATCTGCATCAGCCCCTAGAGATACCTCCTTCATCACTGGTTATCTTTCTCCTTTCCATATGGGTATATGGGTCCTTAGGATTTGAAGTATAGAAAGGTATTAGAACTCTTACTGGGAAAGGGTTGTATCTTCTTACAGGGAACTGTAAATACAATAATAAACCCTGGAAAATAAAAATCAAGGAGTAGCTCTGGGTTTACTTTTGTCATTGCTAATATGAAAAAGTAACCTACAACAAAACAGCACACACTTCAAAGGAAAATGTTTTGCTGAAACAGCAGCTTGGTTGACAATACACATTATTACCAGAATGAGAAAGTCAAATGTGGTACTGAAATGCATAGAATAGGAGGATTTCCTAGCAAATAAGCAGAAGTTTGGAGTCACTGTTACTCTGTCCTAGTTAATACATTGATGGCAGAGTTTTAGCAGGACAAAGAAGTCCATGTTCAACAGCTAACACCCCAGACCTTGTCTAAAACATCTCTGACTATTAAAGAGAAAAAACTTTACACTGTGTTTCATTAAAAAAGGAAGAAGGAAAGAAAAGACGCACTGGGCACATTATAAAGTGACTATTCCCAATTTTAGCAAGGAAAACATGCTGGAGCTTCAAAGCTGCCATTTCATATGCATTACATGTATTTTTTTTTACTGAAGGATGACTGAAATAAGTTGAAAATTACAGTTAGAAAAAAAATGAATCTACATAATATTTATAAAAACCAGTAAAGCACATGTTCTTGTGATTGATCCTGTACAATAAACACAAGATCCAAATTACAACTGCCTTATATACTGTAGTTCCCATCTTTTAGATATATCAATATAGGATTTGAATTTTATAATTCAGTTCTGATATTAGAACAGACCAGAAACCTTAACTATGGGAAATTCTGCATTTGGATCCTAATCCATAACTGGGAACATGTTTAATATAACTATTGCAAAATATGAGAATTTTAGTGGTGAGACTAGAAAGTGAGGACACCAGGCTTATATAAGTGATTAGAGACTTATGTTTGCTGGCACTGAACTGCATAGTGAGGGGATGGCATCTGTTATAATCTAATTTTAAGTAGAGAAAATAATATTTCTCTAGCGCAGAGATCCTTCTATTTCATAAGGGATGCAGCACTTTGCGTCAAATGAAATCTTGGGTTGTTTAACAAATGTTCTCTATTCTCTAAATGATCCAGACCTCGTAAGGAAATATTAATTCCTACTATGATCCTTATTACTAACAACATAAAAATACCTTTTTAGAATTTAACATCTTTTCCCAACATGTTATTTTGTATTTTGCCCAACCATAAGGCAAGAATGTTGTTCGCACAACAGTAAATGAGTCTAAGTCAATTTAGTCTTGAAATCAGAGGAAACAACATATTCATGTATGCATAGCCATCAGTTTACCAGTAAAGCAATGCTCTTGCAGCAATGTACTGGGCTCACGACCCCGGTTCTGCCAAGTACACCAGCAGCTGTGGAATGCCATCCCTAGGCAGTGCCACACAAGCACACCGAGTGCCGAGGGACACATGGGTGTGCTCAGCTGCTCTTCTGACTCATTAACAGGTAACGGAAGGCAACAGCTTCATTTACTTCCATAGGAAATTTCCCTTCAAGGGCTATGGCTTCAAAGACAGGATCGCTAAGTAAAGGTGCTTCCTACTGGCATACTGGTGTGTCCTTGAACTTGTACCTGAGGCTTAAGTCCTGGTTGTCCATAGTACCTACAAGCAGCTATAAGTTCAGGCTATATTCTAGTGTGTGGAGGAAGGACAGTCCTACGTGCACTGTGGTCATTGCCAGAAGCCACCACAGGAGACCTCAGGCTATTTCAGCATTTACTTGCCATGTTGCTTGCAAACCCCATGCTTTCAGATCTTGCTGGCAAAGACAGTTATACATGCAGGGTTCCAGGACTGTTAGTGTCGCACCAGAAATGCTTCCATGTTGGTGTTTACTGAGCATGTATCCGAAATACACTCTGGAGTAGAATGTGACATGTAACTAGGGTCAGTGTTCTGTTTACCACAGGGGGGGAAAGTCCAGCACAGCATCCGTCAGTGTGGTTGTGAAGTTCCTCACTGACTCAGTGGCTGAATATGAGGCTTCTGTAGAGTCATGACTTTTGCAGTCATAGGCATCATACTATCCTAAAGTTAAATTGCAAATGCAGCCCGTTAGAAAGGAGTACAGCCACTATTGGTGATCAGTTAAACAATAGAATTGGATACAGCTGGCCAGAAAAGACTCTTACCCAAATCTGGCAAGAAGGGGGGGGGGGGGGGAAATCTACAACTGCTGATTCATACATCCTTTTTTTTTTTTTTTACATCACTTCTTACAAGAAAGTTCTTACATGCAAAACAAAACAAAACAAAACGAAGTGTAAAGAGAGAATTCTATTCTCAGTAAAACTGGGATAACACCAATAAAGGTGGCATTATTCTGGACTTATGCTGGTTTAAGCACTTATGCTACTTCTCAGAAATTGAAAGGAAAACAATTAGATTAATATATTTGATGCAAAATATAGTTCTGAGTCAATCAGTCCATTTTAAATAAAGTATCTCAAATTTTAGTTTCAAAATTATGACATACATTAAATGTAAGTTTAATTTAAAATTATTAAAAACTACAATTTTCTGATTCACCTGATTTTTTTTCAGTGACACTTCTAAGATAAAGTATTTTATTAATGGAATATATATTCCACTTTGCTGTTAAATGAACAGCATTTATATATTGATAAAAGAGTCTCTGCTTTTGAGAGTACAAAGCAAAGGTAGCCAAATGATCAAAAGGCACAACATGTATGTATGCAGGAAACTAGAATTGTTTAAAAAAGAAAATAGGAACTATACTGACAGATTAATTAGAATTATGCTTCAGTAGGTGCCCAGGAAAGCAACACCTGTAATTCAATACTGAACAGCACATCTTACTAATGGCATGTATAGAGAAGACATTGTGAGCGAGTTTCTTTGCCTGCTATCAAGGAAAGACAGTATGTAATAACAGTATCTACACCAGGAGACACCCAGGAAAAGTTATGTAAGCAGATTGGATTAATGGAACATGGGGAGTTTGTGAACTTAAAAAATAAAGCTGATGCCAGACCCTCAACTCTTGTAATCAGAGCTGAGTGATTTGTGGCAGCTGAACACTGGCATACAGAGAATGGAAAAGTAAGAGCTGGTAGTTATCTGTGCAGAGCTTTTTAATTCATTTGGCCATCACATACAGCCTAGCGCCATGTGGCTTGTCTACGCCTTCTTTCTCATTTAAGTAAGAATTTAGGAAACCAGTGCCCTGCTCTCCTCTTGATGTAGAACCACGTAGATTAATGTTTTGAGCTGCTGTTTCTTAATTCATCAATCTTACAGCCATACGACACAGTACAAACAGTCCATTATACAATGGAAAAAACCCTGTATTTCAAGGTAGAGTACCCTATGAATAAAATACCAATTTTTCATAGCGGATATGCTCTTTTCTGAAATATAAACCATGTGCACTACATTGAAATACACTATAGTGTATTGTGAAATGCATACATTAATTGCTGAATCTATAACACTGAATATGTATATACATCACACCCAAGATATTTATACAATATAATAAGTCTTAGATGTATAACATAATGAATTCTGTACAAAATAAACTGTAAGTTAAGACAATGAAAGAGAACTTTTATATCTGTGTAATTTGTATGCTGATTAAGTTATTCAAGCCTCCATTTTCATCTTTAAATATGCTCTTTAAAAAACCCCTTATTTTCTATAGGCAGATGTCTGAAATAAAGACTTCACTCTTCAGAAAAGAAGAAACTGAAAGACTGTGAAAGAAACAGATTCTGCTGAAGAAATAAACATAATGTTCATGTGGTTTTTGTTTTTTTGTTGTTTTTTTGTTTGTTTGTTTGTTTTGTTTGTTTGTTTGTTTTGTTTTGGTTTTGTTGTTTTTTTTTTTTAAATACCTGGCTATACCATTTTGCATTTATACTGGTCAGGGTGATATGCTGGTTGGGTTGAGGGTGATGTGCCCCTGCAGTGGGAACAGTCAGTCGGCAGAATCACCAGGATACAGATTGCTCATCTGCCTCCATGTTCAAAACAACAGAAATTCCCGGATTATGCAGTCCAAGAGTCTCACCCAACCTCCCCTGCAAATGCTGCTCCATCCCTCTCTTCCTGCAGTGATCCTTTCCCAGCACCAAACGTAAAAAGCAGATGAACATATTAAAGACCATTGTCTTGCAAGGAACAGTAAAGAGGGATGTTTGGATTTAAAGGAAAAGGAAACAAACTTAACTTGTCCCTTTAGCTCTCATCACAGGTCAGATTTCCGATTCAGTGTTCCGAATTTCCTTGTGTTCCTATTAGGATTAGAGTCTTAAAATTATTAAGTGACCACTGACCTCATCTCAAGAGCTACAGGAAAGTAGCTTGCTAATGCCAAAACAGGCAATTGAGCCCCAGTATTTAGGTTTTGCTCAGGGTCCTGAGGATGGTGGCAGAACCAGAAACACAGACTCCCCTTGAACCTCCTGGAGCAATCGCGCCTCCACAGACAACACAGCACAGGACACCAGTGCTCAGGAGGTGCCTCCATCCTCCTCCCGCTGGTTTCAGCTGCACCACGTCGGAGGTCTGGCTGTACAAACTCACTGCAAAGGTACAGGCTGCCTCTGTACTAATGGGAGCAATTTAACATCACCTGAATGATTTAATGATCACTATTGTCATTTCTAATGTATTGAAACGTGTTTTTATATAAAGTCAATTGGATGAATGGATTGAAAACTGTCATTTAGGAAGTACCTCAGAGAACTTAAACTTTAATGTGCTCTGGGCACAAATTCCAGTCGGTCACCACTTAGTATTCTCAACAGTAAAATAAGAAACATTTTCCGTAAATGACACTTTTTTGTACTGGCAGTTATATTCAGTCCTTATTTGACCATTACTATGACACCCTTCCCCTTTGCAGCATTTTATTAAAGAGATGCCAGTGGATCTATTCACACTGCAGTGCTCTCTCTAGTCAGTATAACTACAGGTATCAGACGATGAGCTTTTATGGAAAAATAGTCTACAGTTGTATTTTATACACATACAGATACGCACACACTCAACTGTTCAAAACTACCACAGGTATACATT